ATATTGCTGAGTGGAGAAATTAGGTATTGGACAAATAAAGCTCTTCTGCTAAGAAGCATATGCAAAAGCTAGGCATTTTAAGGACTCATGGAATTGTTAACAATGTTCAGTTTTCTTTGGAAAGAAAGTGAATTTCATGGTAAGCTAGAAATGAAGCAGAATGTCCTAAGCAGAAAACCTGTACTGTGGAAGATATTCATTCTAGACTCAGAAGGATTTTATTTTATTAAAATATAATGCAAAGGTTTTGAGAGGTGGCTTTTACATCAGAGAAGATGCTGTAACACTGTATTAATTTACATCTTTATTTTTCCATACTTACCATTGTGCTGCTGCAGATTGTCAAATGGATAGAAGACTGGGATAGCCATGTAAAAAATGGTTTTAATAATCCATGCTAATTTTAAGAGACAGGACAAACAACTGATTTAGTGTTTTAAATATTAAAAATGTGTAAGGTAAATGGCTAATACAGCATGAGATACACTTTTTAGGCAATCTGCTTACAGTAGACATGATAATAGTAATTAAAATATAATAAGTTACAGGTTGTAAGTTATAAGTTAATAAATATAAGTTATAAGTTAATAAATTACATTGTTATTACATTGTTTGTTAGATATATTTCATTTAATTGTAGCATGCCAAACCTTTCTTGCAATCACAGTACATTGTTCTTCCAGTCCTCTTCAGAAACCAAGCTAATGACAGAATGAGTGTTCCAGCTGAGAGAGGCTGTGTTAGCATTAACAGCTCCTCTCCAGATTTGTTGCTGATCAGAGATGGCAGTAGTTGTGGCTGTGGAAAATTTCTGAAGGACTGTGGAAACATGTTCATACCAATTATTTCATTTTTCAGCACCCTTACAGCATAGTGTTGTTTCTACTTTAGGATGGTAACAAGTGCCCTGAATTTGTCTTTGTAATTCACCACACAACTGAGTTGGATAGATACTTGTGATGCCTGATCAAATTTCAGCACCAGTAATTACTTGTAAAAGGGAGGATTTTTTTAAAGACGTTAAATTGCAGCTAGTTACCTAAATAATTACCATGTTAAACCTTGCCCATGAGCCTTAGCTGATACTGGGAAGCAAACTTCTCACCCCTTTATTTGCAATGGTTAGTAAGAGTGGTTGGTCTGTTGTATAGTTGTCAGTCACATTATGATATAAAACTATGGCAAATGTTATCTGTGAGAAACAGCTGCTATAAGAGTAAAGGTAAAGCATACTCCTTTATTTCTGGAGGATTTGCTTTTGATGTCAGAAGACCTCTCTCAACAAAGGCAGGAGAGCAGTTTTTAACAGTCCACTTCTTATCTGCTACTTGGTGTCTTGCAGCAGGGCAATGATGATGCAGCTCTAAAACTTCCATTCTCTACATTCACCATCAGGCAGAGTCAGGCTTTAAATACTCTAAGCTGGGGGAAGTCCGAAATTGTTGTTCATAGTAACTTTTATTCTAACAAAGCCATAGGATTTAAGGTTGAATAAACTAGATGTGTCAGTTTTTCTGGTGTTAAGAGGTTTTTTGTGATTAGGATTAAGTTTTGATGGAAAAGGTTACAGTTCGAATAAGTGACTAAATTGTCAGATTGAATGTTTTTAGTGTATGGGCATTTTGGCTATACTATTTTGGCTATGAATGTTTTACTTAAAATTGCAATGTTGTTTCCATTTAGTGTTTTCATGGAATGGGCTTTCCCTTTGCCTCTAGTGTTCTGTGATTTTATAATGCTGTTTTCCCATTTAGAATTTTATATAAAAGGTAAATAAAAACAATTATAGAAAGTGCAGAGAGCATAATCAATTACTTTTTGTCACCTGTACAAAGAAGTGACAAAAGGGTTTTCTTTTTGAAAAATGCTGATGTTGATACTAGCAATTACATGAACCAAAGATAGCAACCATTGTTACAATTTCTTTATAGAAATTCAACTATTTTAAATTGTCAGTGTATTATTTGAAAATAAAGTAACTGACAGGAACCTATTTGACTGCTGAAGTCATGAGTCTGCTAAGGGTTAAGAAATTAACAGGAATCCTAAATACTCCTGTCCAATAATGGTGACTGTCTCTAGTTTTGTTCTCGGGATTCGGAATCAAGGTTTTTCATCTTTTTTTTTTTTTTTAATATTATGGTAAATATACAAGAGTTTCAATTTTTTGAGGGATTATTTTGTGAAAACTGGAGTACATATTATTCCACCTGACATCTGCACCCAAAAAATGATGTTGCTGTTGGGATTTTCTGTCTAGTGCTCATAGGGTGCAAATCCCCCTCTTCTCAGTCAGCCAAGACATTCTGTAAGTTTGGCAATTGCAAAGAAAACTGTTAAGAGTTGAGTACACACTAACTGTGGCGCAGTAGTGTCTTGGAACAAAATAAGTGTTTTTACATCCAACGCTTTTTGAGGTTATTTATCCTAGTCTCTGCTAATGGAGTTGTGTTATCAGTGACTAAAAGAGTACTGTTAATATTAATGAGACTCAAGACAACAAAAAGGTCTGTGTGACTGACATGGTAAATACCACTTCCAGAAGAATCACTGTGGTAAGATTGCTGCAACAAGATCCTTAAAAAGTTTCGTCCACAGAATCCTTTTTCTTTTCTCTTGATGCCACATTAGAGAGAGAGGGCTAAAAAGAGTTTGCAGGTTTAAGTCTGATTACAAAGATCAAAGATTTCTAAATTTGTAAAATTTTATTTTGGCAATGTGTCCTCAGAAGCTGCTAATTCTCTACATGCTTGTCTAAAAGATACAGTTCATTTTAGTGTCTTGCTACTGTTTCCAATTTAGTAAAGAAGAAATTTGAGGCATTCTGGGCAATTCAATTACTCAGTTCAACGTCTTCTCTAAATTCAGAGTAAGTTCTAGGGAGCAATAGGACTTACACAAAGCATTTTACTAAAAGCACATTCATTTAGATTATGGATGTTTTAAAATTTTATGTTTTATATGTAATATAATCAGAGAGGTTAGTAGAGCTTTTTGAGTGAGACATAGTAGTGTGTACTGTTGTTTTCCGTACTGTTTTTGCTACTTTGTTCTTTTAGTACTGATCTTTGATAGGCAGCATAGGCAGTTGTGTAGTTAAAAACATTTGGTATTTTTTGGAACAGATTATAGGATTACCTTTTATATTTTCTTTTACCATACTTGAAAATAAAAATATTTTAAGGGGTGAGTCAACAAAAGGTAAAATTGCCCTTCTGTCCACTCCCAAGTTACAAATACCCATTCACAGGGATATGTGAAAGCAGAAGAAAAGGGTCCCAATCTTCAATATGAGGAAATAAGCCTGTATCAAAACCAAATGAACTATATTAACACTATGGGAAATTGCTAAGAAAAATTAATTTGACTGTTAGAGAGTATATGTGGTTGTAGGATGGATTGACCTTGGTTATGCAAAATGCATCCATGTGATGGAGAGCTGGTTGATGGTAGCCAAGCTTTCAAAGATGAGGTGAAAAGAAGCTTGAATTAGGTTTTTACTATCTCCAAGAGTGAAATTATCTTCTCCATTTGGGATTGAAGAAATTCATAGCACCTTTAAGTCTGGTTGATGCAACCTGGCTATTATACTCTATGGGCATTAGTATTGTGTCTGGGCTAAATAATAGTCTGAAGTTATTAAAAACTGTCTAATTGCAGTGAGGGATAGAAGGATTAGTCAAAATAGATCTTTTTTAATTTGATCCACTTTTGTATTATTGAATTACTGTAAATATTTATTTAACTCCTGCCATATTTCTTAGGTGTTGATGAGGTCTTTAAATTGAAGTTGCAGTTCTCTTAGAACTTTGTTCCTCTAAAAGGAGAAATTCCGGTAAGGAATTCATCAAAACTGAGAGGTAGCCAAATAGAGTTAATGATGAAAAGCACAGTAAAAGCCCCCAAAGAATTCAAGTAGTTATGATATATCAAATAGTATAGACTTATATATGTACAAACTTAATATATTAGCTTATACTGCTGGACTCTTTAGTGTGATTTTAGAAAGAGTAAAATCAGCTCTCTACTCAGGTGATAATACATATTTTGCAATATAATCTCTTGCATTTCGTCAAAGAAGGTGTCTTGATAACATGATATGATTTAGAAGACAGTTTTCAAGTGGGTGTTCTTCTTATGCGTTTCACTTATTTTCACCACCAGGAGAAACTTTTCTTTGGTTTTGAAGTTCTAATCTGGAAATATTTCTTATCAAATCTCATAAGAATCTAAGACATGCTTGCTTCTAATCTATCAGAATTTTCAACGTGGTAGGATTATATATATGATGACTTGAGCACTCCTTGTGATATACTGATGTTTGTAAAAAGTTAAAAGTTCTGAGACCAACTCTGCATGTTTACTGTGCTGCAGAATAGAAATAATTGAAGCATGACATGATGGAAGCAAGCATAGGGAAACCTTGGGCAGGCATCTGGAGAAAAGATGAGCAAATTCTTGTTCAGAGGATTTAGTTCTTGTTCAGAGGATTTAGGAAATACTTTGCATTTTATTGAGACATTTTACTTTATTCTCTGAAGTTCCACCTGGTTTTATAGGATCATTTCCACTTTGTATTGTGAAGAAAGAGATAAGAGAAATGTCCATATTGCCCTGTAATTGCAGTATAATGTGTTATGCATGCTGGTCAGGATGAGATTTGCATAATAAGGTGTCCATTGGTTAATCTGATATTGCTGATTTAATTTTAGAAAGCAGATAGATGTATGCTTAAATTTGTTGTCACTTTACTGGCACATCTGCCATTTTCATTTCCATAGTTTTTTGAAAAGTCATTTTGATAATATTGCAGCTGAGGAAAATGAAGAGTGTATTGTTTCCAGGCAATTTCACTAATGGAACAAAATATGATACAGGTACAGCAGCATGCAGAGAACAGTATGTATAGTTTTCAGATGTAACTGTACTTTTACTTAATGTACTAAAAGACGTGTAGAAAGCATTTTTCTGAATTTTTTTTCAATCTGTTTTGTTTTCAGGCATTGCTATTTCTGATGAACTTGATAAGGTAAGACTGATAAAAGATGTCTAATGAGCAATAGAAAGAGACAGATGATTATGATAAGGCACATGCCACTGTCCTGGCATACACACGTCTGTTTTTTTAGGTTCAGAAGAAGTTTGGGTATGGAAAGCTGTATGGGTAAGTACAGTATATGTGGATACATTAAGATCTTGTCAAGTGTGGAAAAAAAAAAGTGACTGAGTTTAAGAGACTGTTAGTGAGACCATGGAAATACTTTTGATCCTGACACCATCTTTGCTTAATATAGTCTGTTGGATTACTTTGTGTACTTTTGGAAACATTTAGCCTTGAGTACCTTTTATTAATGAAATTAAATTCTGCATTTCCAAATATGATTTGTGATAATACTTAGAAATTATTTTAACACCCAGTTTTACTCAGGAATGCATAAGACTCCTTGCTGAATGCAAAAATGGTGTCTTCAGTTCTGGCCATTTTTGGTACCTTACACAGTTAACATGAATTTTAATTCAAGATGTAATAAATTCTACATGGAAAGAGTAATCAAGCTAGTTTTATTTAAGTACTTACAGAAACAGAACCAATTTTTCTTCCCTATTCTCAGCAGTGAGCAGCAGTGTGCTTCTTGTGCCAAGAAACTTGTATCGTGTTCTTGGTGTCAGAAACCATTGCTGTCAGGAAAATGAGTTCAAAAGGTACATAAGACACAGGAATAATGCCTAATATAGAACACTTTGTTTTTTTAAATAACTTTCGTTTCTGTTGGTAAAATGAGGACACAAATCCTTCTGACACAAGTCGTATAAAATACCTTCACTGTGTTCTCCAAGGAAGGCCAGTTAGGTAGGACTGAAAAATGTTACCATGCAGTCAAGTGCATCTGTGGCTGCCATTTCCAGACTATGGCCTAAGTCTTCCCACTGTTTCCATAACTGGGCTCAGAAGTGATGGTAAACACAATTAGAAAGTCCTTTCATTAGAACCTCACCTCTAAGAATACTTAAGAACTCAATTTGTTATGGTTTTGTTGTTGGAAAAACCCTAAAAGATACTCTTTGAGGGAGGAAGAAGACAATTTAGGCTAGAGCCTGGTATCACATACTTTTTACATATATATTTTAGCAAATAATTTCTGGTTGGTTTGGTTTTTATAAAACTATGATATCTTATTGTTCACAAACATTAATGTTTTTAAAATTTAGTTATTCAGTGTGAAAACTGGATTGGAGAACATAATTGGGGAATTTCCACAGGATGCAGTGAAGAGTCAGGGTTTTTTTGTTACTATATACTTAATTTTTTATAATTTAAAACTGGAGGGTGGTAGGCATTTAAAAAAAAACAAAAACCTTGGAATTAGGTTATATACATTCAATTAATACATTGAATGTTCTGGAAATCAAAAGCTATTTCTACAAAACCCCCAAGCAATTAAACTCTCTAACATGCACCAGTTGTGCAGTACAGCTCAACAGGCTTTCAGCATAGATTTAGAGAAGAGTGATTTTTTTTACCTCCATGATCTTCAGTGGACTTCATTTCTATTTCTTGTTTGACCCTTTAACATTTTTAATTAATGTAAAATCTAGTCTGTTTTAAGAATAGAAGCATGGCCAGGACCATTCTGTGGAATTCTGCCTCCTAGGAATGATCCCTTACACAAGCTAATTCCTGAACTGTTCCTGTGACTTGTTTCTTCATGTATTATTTGTCTTGGGCCAAAAGCAGCTAAAGACAATCTGATAATAGTTGTTTTAACATTAAAGAGAATTGGTTCTATTTCACTTGAATGTGTTTGCAGGTGATGTTTATTTTTCAGGTATAAATGCAGTCAAGTTTTAAATTTTTAATACATGCTGATACTAGAGCTTCCTTATCTAAACTGTAGCAGCACTGAATAATTTTTGAAATCACATTCATCTATGGTTTGGATGAATAATTTAACTCATCAGGTGCAGGTCTTTGGACTAGAACAGCATGGCCAAACTTGGCATTGGATTCTAGTAAAACATCAGCATTGCAGAGATGTTATGAGAGACATATAAAACTCTTAAGTGTGCTCTTCCTTGCCTTACTGTCTTCATGGACAGGAATATTTTGGGGAACTAAGACTATGACAGAGCCCATAATTATGCTGTTTTATCTGTGGTTTAGATTATGAATCTAGAGAAAACAGAGAATGCATGTGTATGTTTCTTTATTTTTGATTCTTTATTTTTGTTTCTGATTGTCTTTTTTTAAAACAAAATATTTCTTTCTGGGTTCAGTAACCTCTAGCTGCCTTTGTCAGAGGAGTACTTAATCAGCATTTTTGGCTGATGTAACTCCCCCTCTAAGTAATCCAGTTAATTAGTTAGTTGCTTAGTTACTCTAGCATTTGGATTTGGAAAACCAGTTTGCTCTGAATCACTTTTGTGAAAGAGTGTTTCATTTAAATGGATTCTTGCCAAATATCTCCTAGTATTTTTGTCAGTACTTAGAGCTTTTGTCCAAGACAGTAATAGAGAAAATACATGCACACAAGGTGAGTCTTTCAGTCAGTATGGAATTTTCCAGTTTCACATAATCTGCTAAAATTTCTGAGTTCACTGGTAACCTTGCAAAAAAAGCCAAAAAACTCCTAAAATTACTGCAATTAAAATAGGTTTATTGTAGCGATTACCTTTTTTTTTCATTTACTTCAGGCTTTCAGAGGTGTTCTGTCTCTCTTGATGATTCAGCCTCTGTCTCTAGGCCATGGAGGCTATGTAAAGTCAGAAACTGGCACTGCAAGTACACTGTGTAAGGAAAGGAAATAAGAAGGGATGCCTTGTCAGTCACATATTTTAAAATGCAGATTTAATATAATACATATTTCTGAACTGACTCACCCTCATTGCCACTGAACAGAAACTATTGAAGGATATTAGGGAACTGCAAACTTTCATGCATAATGTCAAGGGTTTAATGTAAACAAAGAAGAGTTAGGATGTTCACCTTTTTTTGATATTCACAGAGTTCTAGGCTAAAAAAAAAAAACTCTGGAGGAAAACAGTGAAGAGGGAAATCTGTCATAAGATTGTGACATTTGTCTGAAATTCCCAGTGATATCTTTCAGTCACTTCAAACACTAATAATGGGAGATGCTTAAGTATTAGAGATCCGGAGTTAGACCCAAGTGAAGATCTAAAAATAAATAGTAAATTTTGACCCTCAATGTTAATATTAATTTTTTTTCTATGCTGTCTAGGGCATACTTTCTTCTTATACGTAGTATTCTAAAATGAAAACAGGTTACAATTAATAAAATACAGCTAACAACTATTCTTAAGCCATAAAAATAAACAAATTTCTTCTCATCCCAAAGTATTTCTCACTTTGGAGATTCCCTTAAAATCCATATCAGAAAATAGGAATACTAAACTATTTAAGTGATGTGTAAATAAATGGATATACAAATGCTGTCCCCTGAGTAGAGGTTGCATCCAGCAGCCACATCTCAGCCCAGTGTGAAGAGTAGAATCAGCTGTCTGTCAGTCTTTCCCTTCTTCTCCTTTTCTCCACATAAAGGAAGCTTGAGTGTGTCAATTTGGTAGCCACTGATGTGAATAAGTGGATGACACCTGGACTGCACCATGAAATAGTCCTCTTTGTTTTAGTGCAGATTTAAATACCTACCTGTACTGAAAATATTTCTGTGCACACTAATGTCACTGTCAATATCTTCTGTTATTTATGGGTGAATGTAAATTGGAAATCAATTAAGATTCCAAAGTTTATATGAAAAAAAGCAACCAAAACTATAACATCTTGCTTGAGAACAGAATACTTCATCTCAGTATTTTGCAGCCTTTGAAATACACTGCCAAATGAATGTCCTGGTGTTCTGAATAGAGCTGTCTCTGCTTCTCCATTTGGTGCTTTCACTGAGGCTGCTTATGTAGTTGAAAGGAGGACAATAAATTAGGTCAGTGAAACCATAGTGTACTAAACGAACACAATTGAAAAAGGAAAGCAAGGTGATAAAGTGGGGCAAAGCATGACTGTGTAATGTAAATTACGTTTCTGTTAAGTAGAGTATGAAAGTGCTACTTTATCCCTAAAATGCCTACGAAAGAAATTAGCATAGTGGGGACAGACACAGAGTGCATGTTCTATTTATTTATATGTTGATTTTGCAGTGCGTAGTGTCAGGAAAAACTTATGGGCAAATTTTTTGGTGTTTTGCATTTTCATTTAAGGGACTGAAGGCTTTTAGCAAGATTGACAGTGCAAGTTATTCTAACTAACTCGTTCCAGGAACAATTTTTATTAATTATTAGAAACTATCCTAGGGAGAAAGGGACAGGATAAAATAACTAGAATAACAGTAATAAACCTCAGAAGGGGCCAGATGGTTAATTAACTAATGTAAGCGCCTTGTGTAATGAAGGCATTATGAGCAGCGAAACAATCTTTTTTCTAAGCTCACAAGAATTGTTACACCTGTGACAATTTACACTTGTCAAGTGCCCAGAGGTGACTGTCATCTAGTCTACATTACTTGACTATGCCACAGCTCCAAATAGAGGCACAAAACATGTATTTGTAAGTACATTAAAAAAACCCAACTCAAGTGGTTAAGTATATGAAGCCAGGGATTCAATTTTCAGTGGTCCTTGCAGAAAAAAACATTGTGTAAAATTGAATTAGACAGTCAAGTGATGGAGAAATATGGACAGAGGTATGGGGAGTGGAGTGTGGAAAAGCAATCACAGGCACATTGCAGAAAGCAAAACAAAAGAACAAGGGTGAATGAGTCAGATCCAGGACCTGGGTTGCATTTGACTCTCAAAATAGAGGTTCTTGTGCTCAGCAAAGTTGTAGCATGTAGTCAGAAGGTAAATATATTCATATTGAAAACACTTCGCAGCTTTTCTTTTTGGTTTTTTTTTTTTGTTTGTTACTTTCATTTCAATAGAGGCCTCTACTTCAAACTGCTTTTACTGTATCTGTTTCAATTAGGAGGAGATTTTCAAAAGTGGTTTGTTTTTAGGAAGGAGATAAAATATGGTTTCTAGGCTACCTAGTCAGTGTGCTGTACTTTTTCCAGATGCTTTTTGTTTGAAAAGCATTCTTTTATGGCAGGAATATTTATTGAGGCACTAAGTTAGGTAACAACCAAGGATTTGCTTTCCTATAATTTTCACTCATTAAATGGTAGAAATATATCTCTCCTAATTAGGCACACTGTGTTTGAAATATCTTTAGTAGCCTATAAACAGTTTAATTAAAGAAAAATAACTATTCCTATCCCATAATTTCATATGCTTTTTTTTCTGGTATACAGATGTGTTTTTTAGTTTGACTATGCTGTTCTAAATGACCCTTTATATACAACCATTCTAGTATAATTGAAAACAGAGATGCTCACAACATCAGAATGCTTTTTCATACAATTTAAGGACAACTTATTACTTTAATCTAAGATGGTGCAAGTTATTGCTATTGTTTTGAATATGTCAGTTATATTTTGCTTGCTTCTTGTAATCCTGTCAAGTTTATTGTCCTCCAGTAAGTGATTAAAAATAGTTTCAGAAATGCTTTTTATTCGAATGTTAATACTATTTTCAGAATAGAAATATACATTATGTAAAGCCCAGCAGGGTTATTTTTAAAATGCAAAATGCAGATGTAGTTATTAGTTTTGCATTAATTTATAATGCAAATAAGAGTGATGCTATTAATCTACAACAGGCTTTTGGTTGGGATTTTTTAGTACAAATGGCCTTGTGTTGCTTAGCAGAACAGATACACTGAAGGTTTTAAGAACTGTGCATTTATTAAAAAAAGTGATTTTTCTACAGTTGCAATTAAAAAAAAAATTAGTGATTTGAGGCATCAGGGCACACAATTATTTATTGGAATTTTGTTAATGGAGAACTTTTCCTTAGTTCATCATTGTTTCTGGGTATTTTGTATCCCTCTGAAATGGTAATGCAATATATTGGTTTTGTACTTCTAAATTTTTTTTCTCTGTTTACATCTATGGTTGAGAACAAACAGTGCATTGTTATTTTTTGTTATTTTTATTTCTCTTCAGGACACAGCAGGTTTTAACACCCCCCTTCTCAGACCTCGTGTTATTGGAGAATGGATTGGCCGTGAGGAGAATGATGCAGACCCTCTGGCTGCTGAGATGCTGCAGCCACCAATACCAAGGAATAAAAATGAGCAGTGGGACAGCGAGGATAGCAGCAGTCCTGGAGGAAGGTGGGTTTTTGATCTGGCCTAGAAACTTTATATTTTGTAAAACAGAGGTGTCTTTGTTACAAAAATTCCATTTCTGAGGGCAGAGTGCAGGGGTTTTGAAATCTCATGCCATAGTGTGGGCACATGCAGAATAAGTAGAAGCCATTAATATGTGACTTTTTTCTTCTCATGCTTTTCTAAATGATTAACTTAATACCCATTTGCAATCCTATGGATTAATTCCCATGAGAAAAGCTAAGTGTATTTTGACATGGTTGGGGTCCATTGTGTAATAATGTTGTGATGTATATCTTCATTCAGATACTTCATGCCCTTCCATCTTTCCTGGGATGGTAGTTGCTATTTATTAATCTTCCTGACACTTCAGTGATAAATCTGGTTTTCTCATTTAAAGGAGAGATAGGCAAGGGAAGCAGTATCTATGTTATTTTTAACAGGACTTCCTAAATTCATTTTCATTTCACATCTTAGCTTTTTTGGTGTTAATAACAAGACTTTCTCGAAGAGAAATTTTGTTCTCTGCAGTAAATAATTTCTGAAGATTTATTGTGCTTGACTGAAAGAGTTTGTGCTTCAGCTACATGGGAGAGAATATTATAATTCAAGGAGTCAATTTTCCATGATTTAAAGATATGTTTATCACAGAAGGTTAAGTACTCACAGACTTGCTTTAAAAGGGATAAATCTTCTGCACTGCCTCTGTTAATTGACTTAAGCACCTACGTTTCTCCCTTAGCCTTACAGCATATCCCTTGGGTTATAACTAGTACTTTGATTGGAGCAGACACCTTTTTCTTCCTTTTTTTAGAAGGCAGAAACTCTGCTTTCCCTTTGAAAAGGTCTGAGGTATTCCTTCACTTCACATTCTTCCATGTACCTTCTACATTGGAATTCACCTCCGTGTCGCACTGAAACTAATGTGTCACTAGCTGTGCTCTTACAGACTGCATTCATTAACTTTCCTCACATCTTGGGAATATTTGTTATCCATGAGTACTTCATTTAATTAGATTATCGTGGGGGTAGCTGTGAGTACTACTATTTCAAAGAAGTAGCAGTGTGTAGTAATGATCCCTCAGCCAGCCCTTGGACAGGAACCAACACAACTCAGACTCTCGGTCTCTTCAGTGCGGTTCCTGGGAAAATAATGGAGTCAGCAACTGGCACTGCAGCTTGATTGTGCAGGCCTGGATTTCTTTTTCCTTATTCAGCAGTTCAGTAAAGGCATTGAATAAAGATCTGTTCCATGTTTCAGAGCAAATTGAGGATATTGTATCCCTTCTGTCAATAGAAAGGAGAAGGAATAAGCATCTCTGTCTAATTTCCAGAAGGGAGCAAAGAGGTCTAGTTCTGAGAAACAGGCATGATTCAAAGCAGCACGTTTTTCTCTTTGTAGAGGATGGTACAAGCTGAGAGAAACCTCAAAGCTAATTAAAAATTGATTAATGGCTTTGAGTATAGTATTTGAGGAATCATGTCAAGTATCATGACAAAATCAGGTCTTCTGATGTGTGAATAAGGAGGATATAGGGAACTTGATGCCAGGAAAGACTCATGGGATACTGATATCTCTGTTTGTAGGTGTAGTAAGTGCTGAAGGCCTACTGAAAAATATGTATTGCTAAGTGGGAGTACTGATTTTCAGTGGAAATGAGTAACTACTAAATTACATGCGGCATATGGATTTACATTTGGATGACTGATTTTATGTCTGGGATAATTCTTTGCTTCATTAGCATTTCATCAGCTTTTGTATGGTATTTATAAAAAGCATGTTTGCAGTCTTGCAAGGGAATCATAAAGTTGCAGAACTTCAAGATTGTGGTGATTCTAAAATTGATGTCAACTATATATGGAAATTTTAAAGACCCATGTTGATCAGGGTTGGTCTGAATATTTAATAATAGTTCACTAATAACTGGCAGTTTCTTCAAGGTCTGATTTAGTGTTACTGTGAATTAAAGTGCTATTAGCAGAATTTTGGAAATGACCACACACCAAATGCACGAGACAAGTACCAATTAATAATAACTTAGTTTTAATGTTGCGAATAACTAGTGCATCTAAAAATAGTGGGAAGAGTGTGTTTTGCTCTCAAAAGAGTGACTTTATCAGTTTATGTCTATGTCATCTGTATTTCAGTAATCTATTTCATAGTTAATGTAGCCTTAAGTAGTTAAGTAACCTTTTGTAAAAACAAGTTTCATTTTGGAAAATGAAAGAGAGGGCAATTTGAAATATCCACATTCAGTGTTTCCAATTTTATCTTGTTAAGTTTTATTTAGTAACACTTTTAATAAAGGGGGATAGATTGTTTATCACTGTTTATCAGGATTTATGGGATAAACCAGCAAACTCTTAGCACTAATTATAATACTCAGTTAAAATACAAGAATGGGAAAGTCAAAACTGTAATCATTCTATTATTTCCAGGTTGTATGTTTTATTTTACCTATCACTAAACATAAGGAAATGGTACATATATGAAACACAGTATAAATATCCAAAGGATTAGGCACTGACAAATCACTGGTAGAGTAAGTGGCATCAGTGTGGTGTGACAGAATCACCATTTCCTCCTGAAAAACATGCATTTCTGTGATGATGAGCAACAGAAGCAGACATGTCATATATTTGAAAGCCAGGCCCAGTAACTCAAAAGGGAAAAAAAAAGAGCAACTAAAAGCACAGGTGTCACTCCTGCTCTGACTGGGAAATACAATGCAGCAAGTCTGAGGTAGCTCTGTTAGAGATGTCTCATCAACTGGGTGAAGGGTCACCTTTTCGTCCTCAATGTTCTGGATTGCTACAGAGGAAAGATTGTGTTTGTCACTGGTTTTGCACTGCTCTCTGTTGCTGCTGTAAGGAAGAAAGGCAAGGTATTAATAAGAGATAAAAGACCATAGAAAAGTGCTGAGGGCAATCCTGCTGGAACTGAGCTCATCTTTCAGAAATTTGAACTCCATGAAAATAGGATTAAAGTCATTTCCAAGTCACTGTTAGTAGTTTTCTCCATGAAAAATTTCTTGGAGGAATTCTGAGAAGATGTAAGGCTCTTGGGAATCTTCCTCCAGGGATAATGTATGTACACAATGGGGAATTTGAGTGATTTTTATTAGATACTCTTGTCTCTTAGAGCGTGAAATGAACTAGGACAGCATAACATGATGTCCTAAACTTAAAGCCTGTTCTTCATCTCCAAGGTGCACTTTGTCTTATTTTTGCTGAAGAAATGAACAATTGTTGATTATATTAAAAATCATACATTTGCAACAATTCTGCTTCCTGCAACAGACCGTAAGGACAGTCTGAGGTGCTGGTGGTATGCTCATGAGGTGCCCCTCATGTGGGGCACCAAATTTCTGTCTGCTTTGTGTTGATACAGTAAGGAATGACAAACTGTAGCTAGTCCTGCCTTAGACCTTTCTAACATCTGTGCAATTCCAGTTGTCTGTTATTTAGGTCAGAGGCACAACTCAACAAATTAGGAAAAGTGTTAAAATCCTGTGGGGTAATGGTATCAAAACCACTCTAGAGAACAGTTCTTTGTTGTCACCTTCTTGCTATGCTTATCAATATCAATAGTTTATCAATAGCTTAGCAATACTGATTACTAATTGACATCCTGTTATTCTGTATGTGTAGCTGATTTAGACTTGATTAGTGCACATAAAAATCAATGGGTCATTTCCCAAATTAATTCAAAACTTTATGTAGAAACTGAAAATACAAAATGTCTTAGAACATCCAATGATCAGGGAATGAGTGGATGTATTTTGAAGAGAGCACCAGTAAGAGAAAGTTGTGCTTTCCTCCCTCACAGCTTAAAAATGGAGCCAAAGACCAAAGGATTAAAACATCAACAGCAGCAACATAAGAAACTGCTGGCTGCCATGCTTTCTCAGGACTCCTTTGATTCTGCTCAAAGCACAGCTCCATCTGTAACTGAAGAAGACATTGACAATGAAGATGATGCAATGGAACTACTGGGTAACTGCAAAAAATTATGTGTATTTTCTGAATTTTTTTATTATAAAAAAACAAACAGAGATTAGTCAGAAACTGCTCCCTATGCTTGAAGCTAAAGTATTTAGCAGCTGTGTGAAGGTTCATTGGGGTTAAACATGAAACTTTCAGGAGAAATGTAAGGAGGACCTTAAATGTGTGTGAATAAACTCCCAGCTGCATCCAAATTCCATGAAATCAAATGCTTCGGGTGCTTAATGTAATTAATTTGGTTTCCTACATAAATCCCTTCCAGGTTTTACTTGCAGAATGTATTTTTGAACAAGGAATAGAATCAGCTTCACTATCTTTCATCTGGTTTTACTTTTTCTTAGCTGCATCACAGTTTTAACTTCAGTAGATTTTTTTTACTTACTAGCTACACAAAGCTTATGTAATGTGAATTTGTAACCTCTTCAGAGGATTTGATTGTAATTTTCCACTAGACTGTATTGTATCTTAAATCTTAAATTGCACTCCAGACGACTTCATGCTCTCTGCTGCCTCCCTTTCCTAGAATTACTAATTGTATTTAATTAATAATGGTTCTAATTGTACTTAATCATTTCTTTTCTGCTATTTTTCAAAGTTCCAGTGTATGATGCTTAAAAGGCAGTCATGGATTTCATTATTTGTTAACAGCTTCTGTTCAATGGAACTTTATGTGGGATCAGAGCATGGGAAATTCACAATCTCAGAATAACTGAAGTTTCTTGAGTTTATGAATTCTGGCATGATTTTTCTTTTTCAGGTTGGACCCTAATCTAAAAATCAGGAAAACATGCTGCTCGTTTTACTTTCTATATTTCTTTTGCATCTTTACTATAGTCTTCAAAGAAACACAGTATAGTTGAGGTTGGAGGGGATTGCTGGAGGTGTGTAGCACAACCTTTTGCTCAAAAAAATCAGCTATAGTAGGTTCTTATGAGTGAACTTTGACTTTCTCCAAAGATGGAGATTCTACAACATCTCTGGGCAGCCTGTTCCAGTGCTTGACCATGCTTATGGTAAAAAAAAATAAAATTATGTATATATATATATATATATATATATATATATATATATATATATTCTGTTTAATTAATTGCAAATTAATACATAATTTCCTTTTATTTTTCAGTAGTTTTGAGTTTGATATATGCATCTCTTTTACAAGAAAGAAGAGAATGGCCTGGATCACTCATTATTTATCACACACAGGATAGATTTTTTGTTAATTTCTGTGCAGATAGTGAGCAAAATGTATCCAATAGATGTACAGTTTTTTTCTTCCAGACACTTGAATCCCTGAAGGTATCTGGAATCAAGAAGGCAGTATAAAGGAATTTTCTAGTGTCTAGTGTCTTGACAAGGTAGAAAATGATCTATGTACAAGCTAGTGTTTTGGTTTTTTTTTTAATAAGTACTTGATTGTAAGAATTCATTCTAGTTTTGTGCCATGCAAAAGAACTAAGAAAGTTCATCAACAGGACCTCCAGTTTGAGAAGGGTGTTATATAAATGAATGTAAGATTCTGAGGCAAACTCCTGACATATTTGAGGAGTAGCCATGCTTGTAGTGATTATTGCCATGTAATAGTAACAACCACTGAGAGCTCAATATACACTGAGCTTTTAGTGGTATTTAAAGTGCTGTGCTTCTGAAAAACTGGCTTTTATTTTCATTCTCATTTTGCAATTTGCTGACAGTATGTGTTATATTTGGTATAATGGTTAGGCTACATTCCCCAGAAATCCTCAAAATTGGAGAATATTACTGTGTTACATGGGAAGGATGTTTTAGTTTTCCTTTGAAGGTAACATAAAGAAATTCAGTTCCTATCAGCAAATATAGGCATTTTTCATTGCTGTATTTTCCAGGTCAGTAACTGATACTGTGATTGGTTTTTTGGGATTTTTTTTGGGTTTTTTTATTATGTACAACATTAGTCCATTAACTGCTTTGTTGCTTTTTACACAACCTATATGCAGTATAACTAATTTCAAGTCATGGCTTTCTGCCATCATTGAATTGCAGGGCATTGTTGCATATAGCTCTTTGATTTGTTCTCTTCAGAGTTCAGTATTCTTTGTTTATTCAACCCTATCTTAAAAAATTACAAAACTTCATGCTCCTAAGTCAGGATTCTGGGAAAATTGTTCTGCAATTTATAGCAGATAATTTAAAGCGTACACTACATTTAAAATGCAGAACACAAACATCCATCTTTAGGTGTGTTCAAGATAATATTTTTCAGATTTTGGTTGATTTATTTAGATATTAAAAGGATGAAGCTGACTTTTTGCATATTTTCTTTAAAAAAACTCCATTGCCTAGGTGAGTTGATGAAGCTTTTAGCTAGAATTCTTTTATATTCCAAATAAAAGAAACAATTACATTGTTATCCATTTCAAAAGAAATCTATGTGTAAAGAAGAAAAAGAATGTTACGGGGCTATATTCTGATTTCAGTTATCACTTTTTATATGTAAGATAAGATGCATAGGAGGGCTGTCCCATGCTGGTGACTTTCTAAGTGTGTTCAGTTAAGCAGGTGACTGAAATACATTAGTGACCGATAACATCATAATGGGAAGGATCTTCTTGACTTCAAAAAGCTGAGAACTGTAACTGTCAATTCACATGTGTTTGTAAGTGTTGAAGGGTCTGGGGTGTCTGGGACAAAATTATATCAAGGGACTCATTTTTTACACATCGTAATGCCAACTATTGTGTTATGTAAATCTAACCAGGAGCTGACATAATTATTTGAGAAATTCTCTAGCCCCTTTTGGAGTTCTAAGACTTTTGGGCTTGAGCTGTCTCTCACATTTGGGTGAAGTCCACTGAGACTTAGAAATTATGTTACTCTCTCAGTATCTCACTGATGTGCATTGGAGAGGGCTGAACTGTTATTTTCCCTGCAGTTGCTGTGAATATTGATTATACAGTCACCAAAGCATGACTCGTTTGGTTTTAAAAAATCAATTGACTAAGTGTAAAAATATAATTGCTTAAGTGTATTGCTGTGCATAAACATACACTTTGTAAAAATATAAGGATTTCTGTAGCACACTTGTATACTATAATGTATACTTAAATATATATATTATATATATACATATATATAAAATATATACTATTATATATATACTATATATAATATATATAATATATGCTATATAATATATATAGTGTATATATAATATAATATATATTATATATACACTATATATAATATATACTATACTATAATATATACTTAAATTCTTAAAGTTTTTACAAGTTGAGGAAGATGAGAAAGACATTCTATGTTGTTTACACAATCTTGGCATAGAGAACAAGTCCTGTGAGGAGCAGCTTAGGGAATGAGGGTCGTTTAGCCTGGAGAAAAGGAGGCTCAGAGGATACCTTATCAGGTTCTCCAACTTTCTGAAACGAGGCCAGATGGAGTTTTCTGTCTTCTCCCATGTAACAAGTGATAGGACAAGGCCACAGGTCATGCCAGGGGAGATTTAGGTTAAATATTAGGAAAAGTTTTTTCATGGAAGGATTTGTCAAGTATTTTAACAGGCTGCCCAAGGAAATGGCTGGGTCATTAACCCTGGAGGGATTTAAAAGATGTGTAGATGTGACACTTAAGGACATGGTTTAGTGGTAGACTTGGCAGTGCTAGGGCAATGGTTGAACTTGATGATCTTAATGGTCTTTTCCAGCCTAAATGATTCTATGATTCCGTGATATTTAGTCCTAATACTCAAGCAGCAATTTCTTGGTTTTTCCCAATCTCTCTGTGTGCTCACAGTACTAAAAGTGTTACCATGTGTTAACAGATGCTGTGCAGTAGTTAACTCTATAGCACCTCTGCAAAGGGGACCCAGAAGTTCACTCATACAACTGTGGTTGAAGTTGAAGCCAAATTCCTGCAATTGATGCATATGCCAGTCTGTTTGATTCTGAAGAGCCTCTCTGATTTCAATGCAAATAATCTTATATTTGAGCTAAACTTAATTGTTTGGAGCACTGGGACTTGTAAAACTCTTCTTTTCTTTGGAGCTGTTTTCACAAAAATGATGGGTTTTTTCCATAATGTATAAATTTGAAGTGAAAGTTCAGTGATTGTTTGCCTCTGTTTATTATGTGTAATTCCTTCTATACAGTAATAAACCAGAATCTTTAAAGATAGAAATGCACTTCAATTAGTAATAAACTTTCCAATTATTGCTTTGGGAGATACCTGATGTGTTCTTTTTGCTTTAATAACTCTTCTTCTAATCTTTAGAATTTCTTTTTTCTCTTCAAGAGCTTTCAAATCTTAATTATTTAATTATTTTAACACCCTTGAAAGGTTGTCTGGTGATATATTTACATTTTATAACAAGAGAAGATAAATAGAATATAGTGGAGATTGCATTTGCCTGAAGGATGAGACTGTAGCTCAGTGTCTGGTAGTTTACCCCTTAAATATCTATACTGCTTTTTTAATGAGCCTCTGAGTCATTAATGAAAGGGTGTGCAATCTGCAGTGTTTTCAGTGCATTTCCTCTGATTTAACAGACGTTTTCCTTGGTTTCTAAAGGTCCTTGACAACATGCAGGAAACTGACTCTAGGCATGATAAATTATACTAATACTAGCAGCAGGTTGTTGCTTTTTGTTGACTTTCCCAGATGAACAAAACCTTCTCCATTATGTGACTAGAATACAGAATTTTCAGAAAAGAGACCACAAAGCCCTGGGAAAGATGATGTGAGTTGTACTACATCTTCAGAACAGTTTTCTGGCCTGTAGCCCATTTTGTTGTCATTTAAGTAGAATGATTGTGTGAGAGAAAGATGTGTGAATTGCTCCTAATGTTCCCTTTCACTGAGTCTTGTGTTTTTGGAAGCTATTGGGAAATCGGCAAAACTACCAGTGGGCATGTGCTATGTAGGGCAGGAACAGAGAATGACACCCCTGGGAGACTGGAGGCCTCCTCTGCATGCAGAGACTGGCTGTGCTGTACGCT